ATTCATAAGGCTGCCCTGACTGGTGTGGCTCTGCGGATTGAGTGGCGGCCTGCGAACCAAAGGGTCACCTGCGAAACAAAGGATTCCCAGTCTAGGGCACTTGCCTGGGTGGCAGGCCAGGTCCCCGGTAGAGGGCACACAAGAGGCAACCACACACTGATGTTTCTCTCCCTCTTTCTCCCTCCCTTCCCCTCTCTAAAAATAAATAAATAAAATCTTTAAAAAATAAAATAAAATCCACAAGACAAAAGGGAAAGGAGAGAGAATAACCACATTGGAGAGAATCCAATCCAGTTTTGAAAGCTGGAAGGGCTGATGGCGGAGTGTGACTTCACAACCTAGAAAAGGCCAAGGCCCAAACCTGCTGACCGAGGAAATTAATAAAGCTGAGGGTACTGACGAAGCCCTAGGAAGACTCAGGAATGGGTAGCAGCAGATCCTACCGAAGGTCAGGGTCCCATGTGGGGCTCAAAGAAGGAATTTGCAGCTCAGCGCCGTCTCCTCCTTTGGTTCTCCCTCACAGAAGCCTCCTCTGCCCTGAAGAATATGGTAAGTTCGCCTTCCGCACTGAGCGAATCAGGAGGTAGGCCTGCACAGCTGAAGATGACAGCCATGTGTGGCCATTTACATTTAAATGAAAATGAATGAAAGTTAAATAAAATTAAAAGTTCAGAGTCCCAGTCACGCTAGCCACATTTCAAATGCTGTCACCGTGGCCTGTGGCTTCTGCATCAGTCAGCACAGGTCTAGAATGTGTCTAGCGAGGCGTAATGTTCCATTGGACAGCGCTGCTCTAGACCCTGACCGTGGAAAGTGTGGTCCTTGCAGGAGCCGCAATGGCAACTCTGAGGACCTCATTGGAATGCAGAATCTGGGCTCCATTCAGACCTGCTGGCAAGATCCATCTCCGGCTGAAAATGAGGTTGAAGGAAAGTCTAACTCCTGCATGTGGGGCTCCCCATCTTCTTAGCACCCCTGGGCTGCTGGAACTCCAAGTGCCAAGCAGGAGATTAGAAATGAGGTTCTGGGGAGGCCCGCCAGCCAAAGACAACAGACATAGGTACTGACTGATGTTAGAGGATCCGCCAATTAAATGACCAGGTTCTTGCCAATCAGCCAATGGGGAGGTTGATAGTTAACAATCTCCCCCTCCCTCAACACCTAGAGTTTCCCAAGAACTCCCTCCCCTCAAGGAGATTATTCGGGTCAACAGGCCTTTGGGAGTAAAAGCCTCAAACATGATAAAGGGAAAGCAAACAAAACAAATGAATAGATAGAAACATTTAAAGCAAACAGACACTATAAAAAACAGAAGAAAATGTCAACACCCTCAGGGAGATAAAATAATACATCTATAAAACAAGAACAGGATGCTATAAGAAAAGGACGTTCTGAGAACAAGGAAGGGTTCTAGAAAATTAAAAATTGACAAACGAGGTTAAAAAATATCAAAAGAAAGGTTGGAATATAGTTGAGAAAATGTCTCATGAAGTGGAACAAAAAAACATAAAGGAAAAGAAAGTAGGTGAAAACAGATTACCCCAGGAGCTCCAGCATCCTGATTGGAATCCCAGAAGTGATTAAGCAGAGAAAATCAAAGGGAGGAAATTATCAAAAAACAAAATAACGCCTGAAAATGTCGCAGAAATGAAGGATATGAACTATGAGAATGAGAGGGCTCTCTGAGTCCCCAGAACAATGAGTAAAAAAGACCCCCAACAGGGCTCATCATCACGACCTTTGGGAACACAGGGCATAAAGAGAACGCTCCGCACACGCCCAAAGATTTTTTTTTTCCAGGTTAAATACAAAAGACCCACAATCAGATGAAATCAGAATGGCACTAGATTTGACAGCAGCAGCACTAGAAGCTCTGAGACAACCCTCCAAAATTCTGAGGGAAAAGAATTTCCAGCCTAGACGTGCACAGCAAGCCAAGCCAAATATTGAGTGAAAGAGCATAACAACGATATTTTGGGGCAAGATTTTTTTTAAAAAAATCTGCTCCACCCCTTTCCATGCACCTTTGCCCGGGAAGCTCCTAGGAGCAGGGATTTTCAACCGGTGCGCGCACCCGTGTGGCGAAAGAATTTTTAAGGAGCTGGAAGCAGGGCAGAGGGGGCGCCTCCCCCTTCCCCTTAATGGCTCAGCGCCACCCGTGAGATGCCGATGTTGGCCGCGTGGCCCGGGAGGGGGCTGCGCGGGAGCCAGCGGAACCCGGACGTGACCAGGACCACGGAGGGGCAGAGCGGCCGCGGCAAGATCGTGGTGGCGGGGACGCCGGAGTGCGGTAGGTTGCTGTAGGAGTTCGCAAAGGACGCCTCCCCGGGGAGTGACGTCCCCGCCGTGTTTGAGAACTACCCCGCGAGGTCTGAGATGGAGAAGCAAGCGCTGCACCGAGCTCAGCATGGGGGGCACTTCGGGTTCCTCTTACTATGTAACGTCCTGCCCCTGGCCTGTCCTGATTCAGACGCTGTGCTCATCTGCTTGGACATTAGCTGGCCAGGAACACTGCCCAGTGTCCTCAAGAAGCGGCAAGGGGAGACTCAGGAGTTTTGCCCCAATGCCGAGGTTGTGCTGTTGGCGGTAAACTGGACGCGCAGATGACCTGGCCACACTGAGGGAGCTGTCCAAGCAGCGGTTTATCCCTGTTCCACACGAGCAGGGCACAGTGCTGGCCCAGCAGGTGGGGGCCGAGGGCCACGAGGGGCGCTCCACTGGGCGAAGCGTCAGGGGTGTCTTCCACGTGGCCACAGTGGTCCCCCTGGGGCGTGGCCATGGGCAGCTCGGTACTTACGGGTTCTCACGCCTGGGACTGCAGCGATCCGCTCCGCAGGCAGGACGGCCCGATTAGGGAAGGGAGGGGGAGCGGAGCGGGAAGGAAGGCGAGATACACAAGGATCCAGCCAAGAGCTGCAACCTCATGTGAGGAGCCGGGAAGGGGCAGAGTGTCCGGAGGGGTGATGAAGGGCACAATTGTTCCCCTGCCTGCACCCTGGCTTCCTGACATCCTGACTCTGGCTGGAACGTCAGGGCAGGCTGAGTGAGAAATCCTCCCAGGCGAGGGACTCGGAGGCAGAAGGTGCCACCAGTCCCCAAGGCTTCAGCCCCCTCCTCTCCACAGGAAGCTGAGGGAGCTGACAGGGCCGGTGTCTGGGCCAGAAGCTGGGGGGACGGGGGAGGGGAGGACGGTAGGGAAGCTGGCATCAAGCAGCGACCTTGGTTGAGTCTCAGTATATGAAGGGTGCCTTTCCTCCCTGCCCAAGTCCCCACACCCTGGTCCTGGCTTCCTTCCCCAAGGAAAGTGTCCATTCCATGACCTTCCCTTTTCCTCTCCTCTCACTTCTGCAGCTGTTCTCACTCATCCTGACCTCCGAGCAACATGCACTAAATTAAAAGGCAAGTTGAGAAGCCCTTCTGCCTTATATCCTCCCGTCTCAGCTCCTCTCTCTCTTCCCCCAACAGTCTCTAAATGAAGTCCATGTCCACAGGGGAATAAAATTTAAAACATGCAATACCTGACTATCTAGACAGCAAATTAGACAGTCAAATAAGCAAATGACAACAGCCAACACAGCAATAGCCATCTGGCATGAGTCAATCAAAACTATACCTATTATATCTGTCAGGTCGGTAAACAGAAAATATTTTTTGGTGTGCGGCAGAATTTTAGTGATTAACTTATGTGAGCCATGAGATGAAAAAGGCTGAAAAGGGCTGCTCAAGTGGGGTAAGCTGAGCCTGAGAGGGAAGGGGACCCAGGGACGAGGGGGTGCCCAGGGCCAGCGCCCTGCGGCAAAGTGCGGGCAACCAATCCCACTGCTGGGCGGAGGGGAATGCAGGAGGATTCCACCAGCCAAGAAAAAATGAAACTGGTAGATTTTCTGATGTTTTATCCAGACTGAAAGATCTACTTTTCTGTTGGAGTGTTTGGGGGATTCATTTATGATAAAACAAACGAACAAAAAACAAAAAACTAAGCCCTTCCAAAAGGTGTAAGGTACGAAACCCCTTCCCTCACAATTCCTCTTCCGCCGCCCCCCACACCCTCTGTGGCAGACCAAGGAGGCAACCCCCTGTGACTCTGGGATTGTGTGGAACCTTGACTGAAAGCTGCTAAGCTCAATGCCCTCTCCTTACAAATGGGGCAACGGAGGCCCAGAAGGGCCACCCAGGGACACGGAGAGAGAAGAAGTTTCATTTGGTGAGTTTTGGAGGACTCCTTTCTGATTCCCTCGAGACAAGATCAGCAACAATAGCAAGAACCAAAACCAAACCTGAAGGGAGCGCGGCTGGTGAGCGAGATCCCACCTGGCCCTGTGTTACCCGCCTGAGCTTTGCTTTCAGCCACCCTGCTGACGTAGCTGCACTACATTTCTGAGAAGAACAGACTTAGTTACTTCTAATTTCCTGAGTTACATCTAATTACCGCCTATGAAAGCAAGATCATGTAGATGCAATTGAGTTTTGTACACCATGAATAAGCCAACTGTAAGCTTTGGGGAAAAAACTGGGGTAGGAGTGCAGGGTAACAAGGCAGACATAAACGAGCGCCAGCAACCTCCTTGGAACCAGGTGCCTTGACCCCCAGTGCTCTTGGGTAGATCCTTCTTATTATTTGTAAGAATCAAGGCCAATGTCCTCTTACAAATGCCAATAATCTGACTTTGTTTCGAATGCTGACCTTCCAGTGGTCTCGCTTTTGATTCTTTGCCTCTCTGTCCACATTTCCCAAGGGCCTGGCTAGCAACAGAGTGTTTGCAATAAGTGAAGGAGGTCAACTCTGTTTGGAGTGTCTGCACCTGAGTATGAAATTTTAAGAAACCTACTATTCTGTAATCTTAACATGTGACATTCTCGCTTTGAGTCTCAATGTCCTAGTCTATGAAGCTCATCTCCTTACCTATTTAACAGGGTCACCACCAAAACCCCAACACAGAGACCTGATGTAGGGGACAAAACCTGGGCTGGAAGCTAGGAGTCCTGGGTTCAAATCTTACCTCTGCTACTTGCTGAGTGACCTTGGGCAAGTCACTTCTTCAGTCTGGACTTCAGTTTGCTCTCCTGCAAAACGCACAGCCGGGGCCCAGTGGGACCTCCTCACATGCTCCTTCCATCTTGTGACTCTCCCAGACTCCCAGTTTGGTTCAGGACATGGCCCCTCAGCCTCCCCAAGACTCGCCTGCCTCCCACACCCTCCATTCCAGAAGGAACACCCTTCCCCTTTCCTGCCCAAGCTGGGGCCTGGCAAGCGCTGGGCTGCAGAGAGGACAGGAGGTGGGGAAACTATCCCAGCAGTTCAAGCCTCCGCGGTAAGGGCTGGCCGGTGGCCAGTCACAACAGGCCCCGAGATACAGAGGGGCATTTGTCTGGGGGACCCAAGGGTTTCGTTTAAACCTTCACTGTTGCTTTGGCCCACTGCCTCTTTTCTCCCCTCCCTCTCAGGCGGCAGCACCAGCACAGGCTTTGTTTTGAGGCGGGATGTAGATGTTTCTCAGATCTGAGCAGACAAAAGTGGGGAGGGTGGCAGGGGCAAGGGTGGCCGCAGTGAGGGTGGAGGGTGGAGACAGTGGAGGAGGGGCGGGAAGGGCTTTGGATGGAGCAGTGGTGCAGTAGAGACCGTTCGGGAGGAGGGGGCTAGTTCCCGACTCCCTCATTGATTAGCCAAGGGACTGTGCGATAGGTACTTCCTTCTCCTCTCCACGCCTCAGTTTCCTTGACTTTAAAATGGGAGTGACTGCCCCACCCTTACCCCCGTGAGGACTAAAATAAAAGGATGAATTTACAAATAATGTGGTGTAGTGAAGAAAAGGGTTTGGAGTTACGTGAAACTGGGTTCAAGTCCCACACCTGTTACCTCTAAACTCACTGTTGTGGGCAACTTATTTACCCTCCACAAGCCTCATTTTCCTCATTTGAGGAAAAAAAAAAAAAAGAGGTATATGCTTGGCTATATAAGAGTGTCAGGATCAAATAAGAGCTGACAGAAAGTACCTTGCCCAATAAATATGTTTGAATGAATGAAGAATTGGTCAGGGCCACATCGTGATTTTTGTGGGCCCCTCCCACCGTAATACATTTTCATGGGCTCTAAACATTTTTATTTTTTCTGATGTGAGAAAAATAATTGAAACATTTTCTCCCACCCTAACAGTTCCCCCCTTGATTTTAAAAGAGATTAAAAAATTTGGTGGGGGCCTCAAGCCTACCTCAAACTAGAACTTACGATAGTCAAAAAGTCCCCACAGGTTTTGGATCCCATAGACCCCTTCAGTCTCAACCCTGTCTGAGCTGAGCCCTCTCAGTCCCTCCGGTCCCTGCCACAGGGCCTTTGCACATGCCCGATCACCCTTCCCTCACCTACAGACACTTATGGTACTTTAACCCTAGTGTTACTTCAAATGACTATGCTGTGCACTCTGACAGCGCCATGCCCCTCTGTCACCGCTGCCTGTATTTAGCATCTTCTATTTGATGAATGGTTGTGTCCCACGCCAGACTCTGAGCTCCATGAATGCAGGGGCTGTGCCAATTTGTATTCACCTTTTGAACCCCTAGTGTCTCGAACACTGCTTGGCACATTGTAAGTATGAACATGTAGTTGTCGAATGAGGTAAACGACTGACTAAATGAATGAGCAGTGGTTCAATGACTGCTGGCTAAACTACAGCAACAATCAAAGATCAAGTGCAGATCGTCTGGCTTGTGCCTTCCCACCACACGTGGCTGTCACAGTGATGAAGATGTGGCACTAAGACACAAGACAGGCCATGCGTGCCGTGCAGCTCAGAGAGAGGGGTGGGGCTGAGCAGGGGACTGAGGAAGAGGGCAGGCTGCCTGGGGCAGCACCGTGTGATCATTAAACCCCTGGGCTGTGGGGTCAGGGAGACCTGGTCTAAATCCCAGTAATCTATTACTAGGTCATATTTACTTGGTTCTACATACCAAGCCATCTACTAAGTACTTCATGGTTCTTGACTGGCTCATCCACCCTAAGTAAAAAGCATATTACAAAAAAGCAGTTTAAAATATTTACATGAGGAAACTGAGGCTCAGAGAAGTTAAGTAACTTGTCCGAGGTCACTACCTGAGATGGGTTGTGAACCCAGGGAGTCTGACTTCATGTCTGCTCCACATTTTGAGGACACAGCAATAAGAATAAACATTTAATGAGCGCTATGTGCCAAGCACATTTCTAAACACTTTACAAAAATGTTTTATTTGTATATTTTCTATTTCATTTTTTAATAACTCATGTTATTCCATAACAACCCTATGAGGAGAGTATCACTATCTCCATCTTACAGGTGAAGAAACTGAGGTCCAAAGAGGTTAAGTAAATTACCTGAGGTAACACAGCCAGCAAAAGGGGTAGAACTCGGGGGAGCCCAGGCAGAACACTCCAGAGTTCATGCTTTTTTTTTTTTTTTTTAAATGTGTATCTATTCTTTCTTTAAAATTTGATTTGAGCCCTGGCTGGTGTGGCTCAGTGGATTGAGTGCTGGCCTGTGAACCAAAGGGTCACTGGTTTGATTCCCAGTCAGGGCACATGCCTGGGTTGTGGGCTGGGTCCCCCGTAGGGGACGTGTGAGAGGCAACCCCACATCCATGTTTCTCTGCCTCTCTATCTCCCTGCCTTCCTTTCTCTCTAAAAATAAATAAATCTTAAAAAAATAAAATAAAATTTGATTTGAGAGAGCGAGAGAGGGAGAAACATCTGTTTGTTGTTCTACTTATTTATGTACCCATTGCTTGATTCTTGTATGCGCCCTGACAGGGGATCAAACCCGCAACTTCGGCATATTGGGACAATACTCCAACCGACTGAGCTACCTGGCCAGGGCCTTAGAGTTTGCGCTTTTAACCACATGACTTCATAGCTTCTGCTCAATGAATGAGTGTTTTTATTATTATTTTACTGGGATTTTGTAAGGGGGAGAAGGGAGCAGCAACATTCTAGCTGGGAGGAGCAGTGGGTCAAGACTGGGGGTCAGGAGGTGGGGATGAGCACATTCAGGAAGGGAAGTATAAGATTTGGTGAGGGGATGGGACAGGGAAGGCTGGAATGGAGATTAGGTTTCAGGGATGTATTGGGGTCAATTGGGAATTTCCCTCGGGGAGAAGCTGGCATGCCTTGCTCTTTCAAGAATCATATGTTAAGAATTCTGCATGAGATGCCTGAAAACTCAAAAGTGTCAGAGCCAGACTCTGCTGGGTGCCCTTTGGAAAGTTAGTTAACCTCTCTATGCCTCCACTCCTTTTCTATAAGATAAAGGTAAAAACAAAAACAAACAAACAAAAAAAAAAACCGGGGCAGGGGGGAGGGTCCTCCTTCATTGAATTGCCATTTAGGTAAAAGGAGATAATGAATATAAAGCCCCTGGCTGAATGTTTGACACAAAACAGCCCTTTAATAAATTTCATTTCTCTCCCCTCCCCCACCTCCAGGAAGATCTCCCCAAACCCTTAGTCTTACCAGAATTAAGGCTAAAATAAAGTGACTGATCTAGAGCCACTAACATTTCTGGAGACCCCTGGTCAGTAGGTGAGGGAGGAAAAAGAGAAAAACGTCGACCTATCCAGTTTCAAGATGTGTTCAAGGTGGGGGGGGAAAAAGAATACTTATCATCTCTTTCCTTCTCCTTCCTGCTGTGTCAACCCGGGGTTATGTAACTGAACTTCTCTGTGAGGTAACCCTTGGGGGCCTCCAGGAGGCAGGGCTGGCAGTGACATAAATAAATATTTCTGCGCTCTCTGCCCAGGTTCTGAGCAAACACCACAGCCTGAAAGGGAGGCCGTGACAAGGAGGAAGCTGGGTGAGGAGTGAGCGCTGGGTGAGGAGTGAGTGCTGGCTGGAAGTCAGGAGATCCATGTTCCAGGCCCAGCCCTGCCTCGAGGGACATGGACATTAGGTGACAAGCTTTCACAGTAGAATGACCTGGGAGGAGAGACTCCAGTGTGGTCTGGGAGTCGTGGAACCCTTGGCCAGTTCTGTGTGCGGAGAGAATAAAGCTCACTCCCCACCTGGCCTGTCATTCAAAGCCCTATGCCTCTCTCCCATCCCATCTTGGTACCCACACACAAGGCATCTGGGCTCTTTGGAACTACTGAGTTCCCCCCAACACTATTTGTCCCCTCTCCTGAAATGTCCTTCCTTTCCTGTGTACTGGTGGTGACAGGGGAAACAAAGGGATGGGTTTTGGAGTTAGACCTCAGCTTGAGTTTAGGTTTAGTTAAGTCAACATGGGCTCGTGATTTAACCCCACGGAGCCCACTTTCTCACCTCTAAGCTGGCCTTGTGATTCCTGTCTTGTTCCTTGTTGCACAATCAAATGGGATAAGAGTTGTTAGTAATCCGTGCCCATGACTCAGCCTTACTGTGTACACCAGGCACAGGTAAGGGTCTGCGTGCCTAAGTCATCTGGCGATGCACACCAACCCCCAGCCCAGTGGGCACTACAAGTGCCTGTTTCCTTTTCCTCCAAGACCTGCCCAAAGCCTCCCTCTCAATCTCAAGTAGGTCAGTCTATTCTGAGAATCTTCACAGCATCTCACAGGACCTCCAAAGCGGCACTTATCACATGAAAGCGTTATCGTTAGTGGATATGGCTTTCTTCTGTCCCAGGAGCTCTCTGTCTTAGCCATGGCCACACTGGCGCACTCAGCATGGGGTCTGCCATTCAGAAGGCACTTGCGTGAATAAATGAATGCATGCATGCACACGTATGGGCTGCATGAAAGGGATGTGCTTAAGGAAATGCCCAAGGAACTTTCTGGGCTCTGGATCCCCTCACTCAGCTCCATGCAACGCCAGGGGCAAGTCGCTCGCTCCTTTGGGCTTTCATTTTGCTTGGACCTGGAGTATAATTTTCTAGTCAATAATGAGGATACTAGTGCTAGCAAAGGATTTTTGGCTCGCAAGGGGTCTGAGAGACCTGGAAGCTATGGAGTGAATGTAGAAATACTGGAATTTCCGGAATAGTCCGGTAATTTATGAATGGTAGGCTTACTTCCACAGTGCCTGGGCTGGCTACATCCCTAGCATACAACTGTCTACAAACGCTTACTGGATTGGGGATAGCGTGTTTTTTACTCCATCGTGGGGCTGGGACATGCTACTGTGAAGGAACAGAAGCCACCAGCCTTCTTCCCTGGGGACCCACTCGTTGGGAAAGGAATTAGAATTAGA